GAGTCTGTCTGAGGAAAAGTCCAGAATCTCACATCCTCTTCAGCTCAGAAAGCTCCCATAGAGACGTCTGATTACGCACAAGCGGGTGACCTGTCAGCGTTGGACCTGATCAGGTTTACACAGACAATCTTTACATTTAGAATTGGCATACAGATAAAAATGAATGCAGTAAAAAAAATGTATTTTAATTAAATATTCATTAATTAGTTTAGAAGCAGAGAGCCGCATCAGATGGATGAAAGAGCCGCATGCGGCCCCAGAGCCGCGGGTTGCCGACCCCTGGGCTAAACAATACCTGACTGCTGTGGTAGTCTTCTTCTTCTTCTTCTTCTTCTTCTTTGCAATGTCTCATAACTATACTAAATCCATAGCAAAGAAGGGTTCTCAGACATTGTTCGTTTGCTTCATCATGATAATTTCTAACCATCTGGTACCTTCATACCCTGACCCTGACCGATTTCTGAGTCATGTGGAACTTCCTCATTTCCTTTGCCAAGTTCCAACCAAGTTCTTCCCTTCACCTTTTCTAAAAGGGATAGTCATGTATACGCCCTTCAGCACGGTAACTTTTGCAAAGCCATCAACACGATTGTTTCCCCTACTGCCTTCATGCACAGACACCCAGCAGAACTGCACACCTATTCTCCCTCAATGAAGTTCCAGCAGAGAGTGAGATCGGTCCAATAGAAGGTCTCCTCTGCCTGATTGCGTTGATTGTAGGCTTTCTAGTGCAGAGACTGTCGTATCCAGTCTGACATCCGCTCCTACAAGTACTGCTGCCATTTCTGCTGTATGTATTACCGGGTGATCCTTTTAGAAATTCATACTCCAAAATCATGAGTGTAGACATCAATCCCATAGTTCATGTTCACTGGTGTTGCTAATCATGAGCCAGATGATTAGCAGCATCTATGACACTCAGTCTCCCACAAACAAAAATGTTATCCTCACTTCTACCTGTCATTTCCGAGCCAAAGTCAGTACTTTCTGGACTAATCCAAGCATTTTTCCATAAAGAGTCACAAAATGTGTCCTTGCACAGAGAATTGAAGGAGACCGTAGAGCTTGTCAGCAAAGCTAAGTGGCTGATTCTGAAGGGTACTAATGAGTGTGTATGGGGTGGGGTAGTGTGTGAGCAGGATCTGATTTGAGCACCAAACTGATGAAGGGGCAACGCCTGCTGGTGGGTAATATGTCACTGTCGAACCCCTACCAACATAAACACATATGCTCACACAGCTACAGAGAGCGGCCAGCAAGGTCCAGTGTGACCCTCAGTGCCCCAGCGGTGAGGAAGATATGGGCTTTTGACAGTTTGTCAGCGGGGCTTGATAAACCCAGCCGCTAGCTGTTCGAAAGGTTGTCGTCCTCCTGCTGACCAGCAAGACCTTTCTACACTCGTGCCCATGTGACTTCACCCTTCTCAAGTCCTTTACCCAGCCTGCTAAGCACTACTGTGTCTTGTAAATGAACCCAGGAAAACATTCTGCTTTGGTTTTTAATGCTTGGCTCACATCTTTCAGCTGACCTTGGATCTGGCCAGTTATATCACTGTTTTATATATTTTACATGTTGTTTGTCAGAAAGACAAAGTCCTTTCACTAGTTTAGCTTTGCAGCCTTATGCGTCTAAACTCAATAAACTGCATTTGTGCAAAAGTCTAATGGCTGTCGACAGGCTCTGATCTTTCAAACAAGAGGTGCAGGTAATGTGAGTTTTATGGCTTAGAGTGTCTCGGCACAGATTTTTGTTTAATCCAAATTTTTATATTTTGATTTTATCACCTATACATCTAACCCAGTCATCATTTACTCTGATTAATGCAAGGGTAGGCAACTCTGGTCCTCAAGTGGATGCTGTCCAGCATGTTTTAGTTGTTTCCCTGCTTCAGCACACCTGATATTGATTGGCAGGCGATGAACATGCTTTTTCCTACCCCTGGATATGTGAAATTGTGAGGTGGTTGGCATCTGCAGAGGAGATTTAAATACTAAAATACAAATCTATCCATCTAATAACTCTTGAGGTAGAAACTTCACACACACACACACACACACACACACACACACACACACACACACACACACACACACACACACACACACACACACACACACACACACACACACACACACACACACAGCAGACGCAACACATTCTCACACCTGAAGCATCGAAAAATGATGCGTATAACCAAGCCTCAAAATTTGATGATTGGGGTGCCCCAGCGTGCTGGGAGAGGACGCGCAGGGACACGCAGGGACACGCAGGGACACGCAGGGACATGTGTCACTGTGGGCGTCCGTATTTGACGCCCGTGGTGACACGGACATTATTCCTCGAACCTCTAGTGATTTAACCTTCCCCTCACCCCCATCCTAACCTTAACTCAGTAATATTCAGTTAAGCTTTGCATGTGCAAGCTGGTCAAGGTTAGAATGGGGGTGAGGGGAAGGTTAAGTAATTCACAAGTCGGTCAAATATCCGTCTCACCGCGGGCGTCGGATACCGACGCTCTGGGACAGTGTGTCCTCAGTGCGTCCTCTCCCGACACGCTGGGGCACCCCTAATTGTCACATTTTGAGGCTTGGTCACACGTGTCATTTTTCAACGCTTTGGGTGTGAGAATGTGTTGGCAAAAGATCTGCCAGATACAAAAATGGTTCAACATTCTCCAAACAAATATTTAAAGTCTCTTTCCGTACTATTTCTCTTATCCAATGGCACCATCTAGTGGCTGACAAGCATTTCACACAAAAAGTCTGTCGCTCTACTTTTTTAAGGTAGCAACTTCACATTTCTTGTTTATAAATGTGCCTCTGTAGCCGACAAACAGAGCTAAAATACACTGTTTCATGAGTATTATTCTCGTGTCATTCTGTGTTTTCATATATTTATATTTTAAAGACGTTCTTGTCTGTGAAAAGTTCATCAACTCTGCATCAGCCGAGGTATTCCTTAAATTTGAAGCATCTAAGCGGTAGTCTAACGCTATTGGTTAGTTCTGGTTGGTGCTCAGTTTCCTATTGCATGGAGCTCTGTGGGGCAGGGGGCATGCTTAACAAAAAAAAGAAAAAAGACATTTTGCTTACTTTTTATCACCGTACATGGTAAAATAATCACTTTTACAGATTTCTGAAAAATCATACATAATTTCTGCAAGTAGAAAACTCCAGAAAGCTGCTTTAACGCAGCAGCAATTAACTTCATTTTTGTTTTTCAAATTAATAAATTACAGTTAAACAATTGATTCATTATTCACATGTGTGAATAAAACCATTACAATTATTGTGTCAATACTATTTAATTTGAAAAACAAAAGAAATTAGGGTCATGCCTGAATAACTGAATGTAAATCAGGGTTAAGGTTGACCTTGACACCCAGTGAGGCATTCAATACCACAAAATAAAAAATCTCTGTGGTTAAGCTGGTGTCACGTTCAGGATGGGGGAGGTGGAAACCAAAATGCAGAACCCAGAACGACTCAAGGCAGGAGAAGTCTTCAGAAATAAATCCTTTATTTTAAAGAAGAGTGTGCCAAAGTCCAAAAGCACTAAAAAACAAACCAAACTTAATCTTACTGAATGAACCAAAATGAATAGAAACTCATTAATGAGCATGGACTAGGAAGACACGAGGAGGACAGAAACACGCTGACGAATGCAATGAACCAACAAACACAGAGTGACAAGACAAGGCTTTTAAACACAGAGGGAGGTAGTCAGGGAAACAGGTGTGAGGAGTGTGAGCTGAGGGGAAACTGATGGAATCAATTAACTAAATGGGAAGAGAAAGAGCTTGGCAGGAGGGCAGATAAACATTAACCTATAAAACATGGATCTAACTAAACCTAAAAGACAGAGGGCAAAAATACACCACTAATAACCAGGAGGACTAATCTAAAGAAAACTAGGAAAACCAGGGAGTGACTAGGAGGACACAAGAGGAGAGCCTGAAGTGGGAACAGGACACAGAACATGACAGCTAGCTAATTTTGAATAATCTCAAAATGATCTTAAAAGCATATTTTGAAGCACCAGTGCAGCTGGAGGAACAAAAGTTGATTATTTAAAGAGTGTCATGCCTCTTTACTCATCACCATTCTCCATGAAGTGTTACATAACTATGGATTAATTTGAATTTAGCTCATATAGTTCCATTTCACAATAAAAGTTGTTTCAGTACACTACAGTTCATACAAAACCATCATCACTAAGGAAAAACAAGTATTTCATTTGATTTTTTTTAATTTTTGAAGAAATTTGAAATTCTAGTAAAGCGACAACCCTGTTAGCCATGAACACCCTCCCCTTAAGACAAAGGCCAACTTTTCGTTTGACTAGTTTTGCTGAGCAGACCTTGAGTAGAGGAGACAAGCAAGGAGGACTAAGGATCATGAGCTTGGAATCCCCATCGTCAGCACACATTAATCAGCACGCTTAGCTCAATAAATATAGATTGTGTTTGAGTAAAGATACACACTTTCCTGCCTATTTAAATGCAATTCCACCATTACTCTAATTAAAATTTTATAAATGGCCCAAATTGCAGCATCTTATGTCTGTGATGAATCAGCCAGGAGCGTTGCTTCCTTCACTCTTTCACTGTCATGGACATGATCTAGCTCTCCACTCAGTTCTCGCAGTTGTTCGTCTCTTTTTTTCACTTTTGCTGTCACCTTTCCTCTCACTTCTTGACTTTCATGAGGAGTTATTGCCTTGTAAGTAAAACTGCAAAACAGAAAACTCCACCATTATTCTTTTAACAGCCTTTTCTCGATTTTCTGTGCACAGCTGTCCATGTGACACACACAATACGTCCCCTGGCATTTGTATGTCGGTGAAACACACATTTTTTAAAATAAGTGGCTTATGTTTCTATCTTGCTAATATGATAGGATGTATTATTGTGGATGCAAATAATTCATCTGTGTGTCTGGATCAGCTGTGTTACATTTGTTAATCTTTGGATTTGTCTTCTTCTCACATTCCTTTTGCAGGAGATGTTCACGCCTGAGTGTAGATTTAAGGAATCAGTTTTCGAAAACTACTATGTGATCTACTCATCCACTGTGTACCGACAGCAAGAGTCAGGTCGAGCCTGGTTCCTTGGTCTCACAAAGGAGGGTCAAGTCATGAAGGGCAACCGAGTCAAGAAGACCAAACCCTCATCTCATTTTGTGCCCCGGCCTATTGAAGGTATGAGAGTGTTTCTTAAAGTGGATTTTACAAAATCTCAGAAGCAATCCTTTAAATATTTAAAGAGCAAGTCACCCCCAAATAAACTTTTTTTTTTGCTGATAAACTAAATAAACGAGTGTCTAATCGTGCTGCAGACACGTGTCGTCAATAATTTGGCACTTCAGTGCATCTTAGTTAAAATTTAAATACTCTGCCTAAAACTGGCAGTGTTGTGCCGTTGTCAGGTAAAAACTCTGCACTGTATTTTAATTTAAATCTGCCACCGCTATTGGCTAAGAGGTATTCTATGATGTAAACTGGTACGTTATGATGTCACAATGCTGTCGTGAGCCTGTGTGTGTGTATTTGTTAGAAGCTCCACCCTCTCGGTCTGCCAGGCAACAGCATTTGTTGCATTTTTCAAACATGAAGTGGGAGTGGAGTTAGACTGGTAGGGGTTGACTTGCTCTTTAAGGTAGTTTGTCATTGATTTGCACACACATCTAGTAATTACATCCAAAACAATACATATTGGCTTTGACCCAAACCATCCTTGAACATGGGGTGATGGTGGCTCAAGGTTTTGGAGTTTGCCCTGTAATTGGTGGGTTGCAGGTTCAAACCCAAGCTCCCGCCATCATGTCAGTCACTGTGTCCTTGGGCAAGAGACTTCACCCTCCTAGCTTGCTGCTGGTGGAGTGCTTGGCAGCCTCTCCCCAGGGCAGCTGCTGCTACAGTGTAGCTCATCAGATTTTGTCGTATTTATTTATTCATTTTTGTCCAAATCAACAGTGCTGTGCTTATTGTCACACGGCATCCAATCTCATTATGAGACATTGAAGTAGAATTTATTGAACATGAAGAATGTGAAGAAATTAGTTTTAAGCATTTATTTTCAAATAGAAAAGTTCTGTTCCATTAAAAAGCAAAATATCCTTTTGTGACATAAAGTTATTACACAAATTATTAGCATTATAATCATTATCAATATTCAGTAGGTAAATAAATCCTTGTTTCTTGATCTTGTGCCTGAAAGCCTAATTGAGCCTGTGAGACACGGTGCTGGTAGAATCATGATCTGGGCCTGATTTTTGGCCCTTTTTAAACAAGGTGACTTGTCGTTCACTTCTTCACTGGAGAAATCTACTGAAAAGCATCAGGACAATTGTCATCAAAGTGACGTTTTGAGAAAGCGGGCGATGCAGCAAGATGGCAAAAGAGGAGATGGCAGAACAGACGAGGGATAATTAAAATCAAAGCTCTGAGAAGAATCAGGAATATTCAATATGGAGCAGGAGTGACTAATTCCTGTTAGTCAATTTAACTGACACTCAATTTCAAAGGTGTGAAATTATCATGAATAAATGTATGACGCTTCCTGAACAGGTGAGGTGGCGTATCCTACTACTACTTGTCTCCATGTTTATGTTCCTATTAGATGATCAGTCTTATCATAAAACCCTGTGATAAAAAAAACTGCTGACACAATCTTCATTGTCTTCTCTCCGCCCGGTGCGGTTGTCCCCACCTCACACCTGCCCTTGTCTCCGTCCTCACACCCATCTCTTTAATCTGCTCTACATTGTCCCATTTTCTGATCGACTCCTACTTTTGTCCTTTCTCCCCTTCCCTTTTTATTGTTTGCATTTCTGCCACAGTTTGTATGTACAGGGAGCCATCAATGCATGAGATAGAGGACAAGCACCGCTCCAGGAAGAGCTCAGGGACCCCCACCATGAATGGAGGGAAAGCTGTCAATCAGGACTCCACATAGCACCGGGAAGAGCAAGGGGCTTCCTGCATGGGAGGTGGCCTCATCCTGACTCAGGGGGAAGGGGCCACAGGAAAACAAATCACCCTCCTTCAAAAAATGACACACCACCATTTCCTCTCTAACCGAAGAGGGTGAAACAACAACGATGAAGATGAGCTATTCCTGTACAACCAAGACAACAAAACCCGAACTCTTGCCTGTGAACACCTTTTAGACGACTTAAGATGAATTACCAGAGGATATATATATGTATATGTATAGATCTACAAGGTATATGAGATATACTTGACCAAAATTTTATGCAAACAGAGAAAAGGCTGTGAAAACAAGCAAAGGAATGGTGGTTTCCCTTCACACGAACACAAATATCTATTATTTCCAATTTATGCTGTGAAAAACAAGCTTTAATACATGTTCAGTTTTCATACAGTGAAATTTTTTTCTATATGCTATTGCACTTCTACATTCTCTATTGTTATTAATATCAACGTCATTGTCATATTCATTCTAACCACTTCATAGAGGGTCATCCATGTGCAGAAACAGAATTTATTTTTCTGTTTGTTGTTTTCTCTCAAAGTTTCAATCGTGAATGTAACGTTGCACCGCCTGCTGTGGTGTGAGGCTGAGAGTTCTCTGTACTGGTCTGCAGAGAGCTCACGATAGGATGCTATTTACTCAGGTGTGTATTGTAAGTTAGATTGGTGTGACTAGTAGGGGACAAACCTTGCTGCGTAGCAGGGGAGAACTGCATCAAGCAATACAATAGAGGGCAACAAGGATGTCTTTAAAAATAGTGACAACAGTAACAAACTGGCAGCGCATTGCTGTGGTAGGAAGGCTTCTGTGTAGATGAGACCTGAAAGGAAAGTTGCATATGTGGAGAAGAGTGAGAATAAGGGAAAATCAGTTTTAATAGTTGTGCAAATGTGTTAAAATGACAAATTTGAATATTCTGTTTAAAACTCGAGCCAATATGATCAGCATTGGTTATCTGAGCCGTGGCTAAAAACAAACACCTTGCATTTGCAACAAAACATTTTTTAACGTTCCTCTGCTTCAATTATTTTATTGGGACAAATCAAGAAGTGATCTTTATGTTTATGTTTATTTATTTGGCAGACGCTTTTATCCAAAGCGACTTACAATTTATAACCTATAGGGCATGTTGTGATCTGTGGGGGAAACCGGAGTACCCGGAGGAAACCCACGCATGCATGGGGAGAACACGCAACTCCACGCAGAAAGGCCGCAGCCGTGTTTCGAACCTGCAACCTTCGTGCTGCGAGGCAACAGTGCTAACCACTGTGCCACCATGCAGAGCTCTTTAATTTAAGAGTCCTTATTAGTTTTATTCTGAGGATAAAACCATGAATGGAAACTATTTTGATTGACTTGGCAGCGAATGGCTTGAGTTTTGTAATACTTTTTATGTTGTGTCACTTTTATCAAAAAATCATTAGCCATTTTTGTGCTGAAGGATGGGGTGTCAGACTGTTTAATAAATCACTGACCTGATGTGTTGACATTTGCAACATGGGGTCACAATCATCAGCACCTTCCTATCAGAGTACTAGTTGAATGCTGAAAGAGGAAATCGGTTGAATAGAATTTAACCATGGTTGTGGATGAGATTACTTACTATTTTTAGTCTCCTCCTGTCTTTTATTTTGTAATCCATAAAATAAGCCATTAGCTGGAGAAACGGTCATTTTCATTAATCTATATACACTTACAGGGCTGTCAAATAAGGGGAATTGACTGGTACACCCATAGACATGAATACGTAGATGCGTCATTGGGCGCTGGAGAGTTCAGTAGTGTTGCTGCCATATTGGGTGGCTTATTCACTCTCCAAACCCAACTGGAGTCAATGCAGGGTGAACAACTGTGCCCATTTTTGTGCAACCAACTGTTGCAATAACTGGCGCACTGTTGAAAACAGAACACGTGGGATTTCTATTGACTTTTCTAGCCTACCTGTTGGGATTTAATATTGTAATTTATTTTATTTTATTTATTTTATTCATATTTTTTTATTTAGTGAAAAAAATAAAATGTGTATTTTTAGTTGGGTGAACACCTTCCTCAGTTGAAATAAATCCAACATGGTGGCCCGCTGCTACACCAGCTCCAATAGGTAACACCAGTCCACATCGCATCTGCGTAGATGATGTCTGTGGGTCCACCTCCGACATTGTGTACGCTGCTGAGCTCATTTCCTTTTTCTCATTTAGTTTATCTAACTCAGGAAGTCCCACGGTTGTCCCATTATTGGGGCTCAGGCATAAAAGACGGCCGCCCATGGCCCAGCAATCATTGCACAAAGCTTGGTGGTTCATTAAGAGCAGTCAAACCTATACATGTTGTGGGCTCGCTAGAAAAACGGAAACAGGTGAGACAAAGCATGACCATCGCATGACTGTAAAAGTTGATGTTTGTCTGAAGTCAAATCGTATAATAAAAAAAAGAAATGAAGATATTTTGAATTTGGGAAGTAGAAGTCCAAACCTTTTTTATGCAACATTTTGATCAGTATTTTAGCAAAAGTTTATATATCTACTGTATATCTTGTTGGTAACCATTTGCTAAGTTGGTGGTATGTACAGTTAATAGCACACATTCAGCTGCTCAGATCAAACAGCAGACATTTGTCATCAGGGAGATGGGAGGGTCTTCCACCTGGAATCCAGGCCCACAGATACAAGTTACCTGCAAGAGCTAATGGTAGGTTAGTTCAACTTCCACCTCACCTACAGTTCTGCATTACTGTGAAACATACATTATATTAAATGTGACACTGAAACTCAACAGGCAAGACCAGCATATAATTATCTTTTTACAGAAGTTTATATTGGTGCAAATGAGATGTGTGTGAATTTGACGTAATGCATGAAGCTGGACACGTCTGTTGTTGACAGAGATTAGTACGAAAGGATGTAAGGTAGTGAAAATATCTGATGTGGGGAAAATTTAGGAAAGACGAGCTCTTTTTTGTGGGTTATTGATGTATGTTAGGATGAGCAAAGACATGGGGGTGTTTGAGACAATGGATTTAATTTAGTATTTTTGTCTTTGCAGATGATTTCACTGCATTCAGACACACTCATATATGCATTATGAATTGTGAGATGATAAAAATATGCATTGATTGTACAATTCAGAATGAAGTTAGTGATTGTTTAAAAATAAAGATTATGTTATCAAAAATTGTCACTTTTGTAGTCATTGATTTGATGGGTCACATTTTTAGTATTTTAAAGAAGAGTGTAATTCCCTTCGTTTACATCTTCCATTTAAATCCAGTTTTAGAGGGCAAATTACAAATTTCAACTTTGCACTTCTTAAACCCTCTTTTCCCAGACCAAATGCTTAGTCAGTGCCAGGCTTTTCTGTTTTGACCGACAGAGGCTCCAGTTCCAGCTAAACAAAAATAGCTGCTGTTTCAACACTAAACCTAGACCACAGAAACATTCATTAGGAGTTGTAAGTGAGCTCACAAAGATCAACAACCAATAAAAGCATTTTGAGAACCTTGTTTAACAATTCTGAGTTAGTGTTGCTTTCCGTCCATTTAATATGGAAAACATGACAATATGAAATGGTCTGAAACTCAAAATGACAAGTTGTACTAGAGCATTTATTGTCTCCCATTTCTTTTTATTGTAATTTTTATATTGCCATTTTATGAATGCAGATCTGTTTAACTGGATATCCACTTTTGCTATTTTTAACAAAAAAAAACTCCCATTTGCAGAATTTTTTTAAAATGTAGACTATTAGAAATGTTGGTTTATAAAAAGAGCACCCAATTGTATTCACATTTTTTCATTTAGAATAAGATTTGGCTACAGCCAGTTGGACACACAAAGCTGATCAAATAAGGAAAGGCCAGCCCGCTAAGTTGGTGGGGTCTTGCGTGGGGTAATTAAGATGGTTTTTATATGAGTCTTTTGAAAATCCACTACGGGAGTGGCTTCAGGGGATGCAGGAGTGTGTTTAGTGTACCATTTTCTCTGTTTTTCTAGTTAAATGAAGGAAGCCACTGAATAGTGGTCATTTTTGGAGTAAATAAGAGGCCATGCTAAAGTGTGTCCGGTCATCCCTTCCCTGGGGATAAAGGAGCCAGGATACGAAGTCCACTTGCTGGCGGGGATCTGACAGGAAAGAGCTTTCTACGGACTGAAAAACACCAAGTTCACTAGCTTTGTTTTCAATACATTTGTAGAGGTCTCTATGAATGAATGCCTTGTCAGTCAATCTCTCAAAATCTTTTTTCATTAAGTAGAAGTGAGCCTGAGGAGAAATTAGCTTCAGATGGCAGGATTTGGAGTCTTATTTTCTGATGTTTGGACATCTCACCTCTGATTGGCTAACAGCAACGTGACTCTACCGCTGACTCTGCTCTGCAACATTGGTGTTTCATCTCCATAAATAACTCAAGCCTGAAGGATTTCTGCCATGTGGTGGAGTTGCTAATGGTTAGCTTCTTCTAGCCAAGACGTGCTATGCTCTCTCCTGGATGCTAAACCAACAACAGTCTTCCCCACCATGAGCCAAGAAGGGTCAGTCCATGAATAGTCATTTTCAGTGTGACTTAGATCTGAAAGGCTTTTCTAATCCAAGAGTTTCCCTGATAGAAGAGTATTTTCACATTCAGCCAGCCTGTGAAACTCAGAATGACTAATCATATTTCAAAAATAAGTAAAGACTGTTCATTAGTGAACTTGGTGTTTGGCCCCCAGTTTGCAATCTAGCTGTGAAAATTTAAACCAGTAATGAACTGAATCCAGTGTCAGCTTTGGTTTGGTTTTATAACAGTGAAAAGCACTATCTATTAAAAAAGTTTGTTCTACAGCTTTGCACTACAGAGTTAAATAAAGAATGGCAGAGACGTGATTTTCAGACACCCAAAAGGATGTCAAAAAAAATAAAAAATAAAAATAAAAATAAATATATATATAAATAAATAAAATCAAAAACTATATATGGGGCTTATTGAAATATTAAGTCATACATGTAAATCTACAAGTGTTTTTTTTTCTCAACAACATAAGTGTCAGAAGCCACATAGGTAAGTAAATGAGTACATGACCAAATTTCTCCTTTTGGGGTTTCTTTTAACAGTTTCTGCATTAGAAGATGCCTTCCTTTCTAACACAATTACAAGTCACTTGACAAATGCAAATTTCAACATAAATCAAGAGATGTTGGAAAATTTTCAATCAGGCTTTAAGGCACAGCATAGTTGTTACAGCCCTGACATGTGTTGTTATAATGTGAAGGAGGGAGATACATTAAAAAAAACATGACAGTGGATTTAAAATGGGTTTAATTGCCATAAAAGGTTTTAAAACAAGCAAGAAAACAGACAGAGAGCATTATTAAAATAATGCAAAACAAAAACATTATCATAAAGGTTAACAATTAAAAGACAATTCAAACACCTTGGTTAAAACTTTGTTAAAAGTTTCACTGAAACTGAAAAAAAGTGTTTCAAAATCCACAAAGTTGAGAAAAGTCTTAAAACCAAAACAGAGATAACCGTAAAACTCATCAAAAACAAAGTGGTTTAAAACCAAATGAGGCCTGGAGGACAGCAGAACCCCTGCACTGATTCCTCCTAGACTGCTGAGAGCACAGCCTTTTTATCCCAGGTGTAGGTTGTCAGAGGGATTCAGCTCAGCTGTGCTCCTCAGCAGCCTGGAGGAGAGGAGGATAAGGGGCGGGGTCTGGCTGATCACTGGGGCCGGGTGACCCTGGCTCCTACATCTGAAGAGGCCAGGCTGGTGACCATAACAATAGTACTGAGACAGCACTGGTGAAAGTCATGAACAATATTTTGCTTGCCACAGATCTTGGTGAGACTGTCCTACTTATTTAGTTCGGCCTCGCTGCTGTTTTTGACATGGTGGATCACAATGTCTCAGGTTCAGCTCTGGAGTCTCAGGTTCAGCTCTGGAGTGGTTCAGATCATATCTTACAAACTGAACAGTGCATCAGAAAGGGTGGTTTCTCGTCTGCCTCCTTGCAACTCCCCTGGGATGTTCCCCAGGGTTCTGTGCTGGGACCACTTCTATCTCCTCCATCTATATTCTCCAATTAGGGGATTTTTTTGTCGTTTTGCCATTAGTTTTCCTTTTTTTTTGCTGATGACTGCCAACAGTTAAAATTGGCAATGCCTTGGTTTTTGATGCCCATGTGAATGGAATTGTGTCCACCTCTTTTTACCGTCTGCATCCTTTAGGAAAAACAAAAACCATTCCTGTCAAGACAACACTTGGAAATAGTAGTTCTTGCTTTTATTAGAACACGGATTGACTACTGAAATTCTCTCCTATTTAGAGTGACCACGGGAACTTTGGAAAGGCTGCAACTAGTGCAAAATGCAGCTGCAAAGTTTTTGGTGGGGAAAAAAGAAATTTGACCATGTCTCCCCGGTCTTGGAATCCTTGCACTGGCTATCTGTGGATTTCCGGATTCGCTTTAAAGTCCTTTCATTGGTTTTTAAATAATTAAATGGACTGGCTCCTGCATATTTGCAGACACTGATACAACCATTTACACAAGAACGGCAACTCCGCTCAGACAGTAGTCTCCTACTCACAGTTCCTAGGACTCGTTTGAAGACAAGAGGAGACGGGGCTTTTTCCGTGGCAGGCCCGGAACTCAGGAATGAGCTACCCTTTAACGTACGTGCTTCACCATCGGGGATAGTTTTAAGATCAGGCTAAAGACTTCTTTATTTGATCTGGCCTTTACCTGTGACAGGCAATTAGTCTGCTTGTATTTTCTTTTACTAGTGCAATTTGCATGTTGTTCTTATCTCTTTTTTATTATTTCTTTTTGTTCTTGTCTTAATCCCACAGAGCTACAGAGCTTTTTCCTCAACAAGATCCTTGGTATTAGGCTTAGCCTCCAGCCTCAAATACACACTATCCATGTAGAACCGCCGGATCCACCTGCCTTCTCAGACTTTGCTCCTGTTCAGCTTGCTAACTTGATGAAACTGATTAGCTCCATGAAGCCAGCTGGCTCTTCGGTGGACTGCCTCCCGGCTAAATTGGTGCGTGATGCGGTGTCTGCGCTGAGCCCGGCACTCATGAACATTTTTAACATTAGCCTCAGCACTGGAGTGTTCCCTAAGGTTTTTAAAGATGCGGTTGTTCAGCCGATATTGAAAAAACCTGGGTTGGATCCTTCCACTTATGAGAACTTCCGCCCTATATCGAAAGTCCCGTTTCTCTCGAAGGTCCTTGAGAAAATTGTGCATGGCCAGATCTCTGCTTGTCCCGTCGTTACAAAGACATGTCTGTACAGCGCTTTGGTGTCACCCCTGAGCCTGAAAGGCATTTTAGAAATAAAGCTCGAGTTGAGTTGAGTAAATCATAGTTTTGACCAAGTCCAGGTTAGAAAACGTTGGGCTTGGTAGATAAATATAAAAGCCAAACAGGAAAAATAATAATAATAAAACAACTGCACAGCTAAATGCAGAAAGCAGAGTTTGTCTGTATTTACTTCCTGCAGGTGAATTATGTGATTTGTAACATAATTCAATTCAATTCAATTCAATTCAAAAATACTTTATTAATCCCAGTGTCACGTGCGTGCCGGGCAGCGAGGAGGATCCAAGCGCAGAGAGCAAGAAGGCGAACAGGTGAGTCCGTTTAACACAGGTTTATTTAAGAGACACGCTGGACACTGAAACAATGACTCCACAAAGGACACAAAACAGACGGGGTTTAAATACAGGAGGACCGGGAGCTAAGGTGATTGGGAAACAAGAGGCAGGTGGGAGCAATTAACAGAGACACAGACAAAACCTAAGAGTAGACAGGACAGGACGTGACAGTACCCCCCCCCTCAAAGGGCGGATCCCAGACGCCCACAGGAACCAGGAGCAGGGCGGGAGGAGGGGGACCCAGAGGGAGGGCCCAGAGGAACCGAGGGACCACAGGAGAGGCGGCAGGGACCAGCAGAGTCAGGAGGCCCGCGCCTGCTGCAGATGAGGAGGCGACGGGCCCTTGGAGGTCGGCGCCTGCTGCAGATGAGGAGGCGACGGGCCCTAGGGGGACGGCGCCTGGGGCAGATGAGGAGGCGACGGGCCCTAGGGGGCCGGCGCCTGGGACAGATGAGGAGACGAGGACGAACCCTAGGGGGGCGGTGCCTGGGGCAGATGAGGAGATGAGGACGAACCCTAGGGGGGCAGC